TATTATTATTATTATTATTATTATTATTATTATTATTACTCCAGCTTCTCAACATCCTTTTCAATTGTGGTGCTCAGAACTGGACACAGTATTATTCCAGGTGAGGCCTGACTAAAGCAGAATAGAGTGGCACTATTACCTCCCTTGATCACGACACTATATTTCTCTTGATTCACCCTAGAATCGCATTCACCTTTTTAGCTGCAGCATCACACTGTTGGCTTGTGTTCAGTTTGTGGTCCACTAAGATTCCCAGACCCCTTTCACATGTACTGTTGTCAAGCCAGGTGCCCCCCCCCTATTCTCCATTGAGACTGCCCCTGCCAAATCAAGACAGTTGGAAAGGATGTGTCCTGACCACATAGGACCCATCTTCATTTTGTTTCTTACCCCAGAGGAGGAGGGTGTGTGGCGGCGACTGCCATATCCCTATATTGCCAGGCGGCCACGTTGTTTGCCTGGAAACCAAAAGGATGCACGCTCCTCTCGCTGGAGGCAAACTCTGAAAAGACAAATCCATTGGAGTGAGGACAGCAAGGTGAAAGTGATTTGAGCATTGAACTACAACTCTGGAGTCCAGGATTTAAATCTCGACTCAGGCCTGGAACCCCTGGACAAGCCACACTCTCTCAGCCTCAGGGTGAGACAGTAGTGTCATCATTGGTCCCTGGGTGACCCTGGGCAAGCCACACTCTCTCAGCCTCAGGGGGTGGCAATAGCAAACCCCCACTGAATAAACTTGCCAAGAAAACCCCAGGATAGACGGAAATGACCCACACAACAACAACTAATAGCAAGGCAGGAGCAGAAACATCAGTAGTGGAGATTGGGAGGCAAGAGGGGAAAGAGAGAAACATCATCAGACAGTATGTTGGGAAATCTCAAAGCTTGGGCAAGCCACCATTTATTTCTTGATTCCATTAGTAATCCCTTAGTTTCCAGATTTTTGAGCATCTTGATTCTTCTGCACAAGGAGCAGGATAGCATCTTCGTACAAGAAAGAGAGCATTTGCACAGCTCTGTCCTCCAAGAGAAGGGAAAAGCCAGTGGGCTCAGAGGAACCGACAGAAGCCTTGCCACTGCCGACCTCTCAAAATCAGCTGCCTGAGGACAGTACCTAACTTTGCCCAATGGTCATCCTTGGGGTCAGGACACGGTCTTTCCTACACTTTAACCATACCTGACTGGCTGGAAGAGGGGAAAGAAAAGGTGGGCAGTCCATGTCCGGGGGGAGCAGTGCTTCCTGGGGGCAACACAGGAGTCGGGAGGACAGGATACAGCGAGCACTAAGGCGGGAGAGAAACCGGGAGTTTTCAGTCAGATTGGTCAAACATGGATTTTTTCCCCAATATATAAAATTCAAAAGCCATATCTCCATGACCTCCACTTATAGCCAGCCTTCTATATCCACGGATTCCTTATCCATGGATTCAATCACCCAGGGCTTGAATATTGGGGGCATCGTATTAATTATCACCTTTAAAAAAAGTTTGACAGAAAACGTGTTTTCATTTGTAGTTGTTAACTTATCCAGATTTACACATTTTCCCCAGCGTTTCTTGACCCTCCGTATACCTGATTATTGTCAAAGTCTGCAGATTGCGCCTTATGAGGTATTGTAATAATTATCACCCGGACTTTATTTATGGTATATTGATGAAATTTTGTCAGAGTCATCATTGGTCTCTCAGTGCACAATGTTGAGAAAACCAGTTCATTGTGCCCTTTATTTTTGTGACGTGTTGTGCCAGAAGTGACTAAAGTGTTAAGACGCAGTCTGCAGACTTCTACAATAATGCTATTCGACGGGTCAAGAAACGCTGGGAATGTGTAAATCGGGATGCTGACTACGTAGAGATAAGTTGACAACTACAAATCAAAACAAACTTTCTGTCAAATTTTTTTAAAGGTGGTAATTACAACTTTACGATACCCCCTCGTACCTTCCAATAAGGCCAATCTTGCTTTTGCCATTTTATATCAAGATCTCTCCATTGTATTTCATGGAACTTGAGTATTCACAGATTTTTAATATTCATAGGAACCTGGAACCAAAACCCAGCAGATAGCAAGGTCTCACATTATTATTATTATTATTATTATTATTATTACAATGCCCCATTGTATATAATGGGATGAGCATCCACAGATTTTGGTATCCACAGCGACTCCTGAGACCAAATTCTAGCAGATTCCAAGGTCCCACAACAACAACAACAACAATGTAATTGAGGTAACAAATAGACAATATATGTGTATATGTATAACAGATTAATGGGGAAAAATATCTAATTGATAAGTCTATCGGTAGGATGGTTCATATGTCAAATAATAAATGAAATGATTGTAGCTGCTCAATCAAGTAGAGGGTTGTGATATTTTATTTTTCTGGTTTAGATAGAAATTTAAAGTAGAAAATACCTCGAGAAATAAGAACTAACTGAGAGGTAAGGAAGTTAAAAGTGAGTGTTTGTACTTTTTTTTTAAAAAAATCATCATCGTTATTTATTTATGTTATGATCGTTGTTGTAGTTATTGTAGGATGATTGGTGTAACTGTGTTATGTTATTGTGTTCGTCTGTTTATATAATTTTTATAGGGAATAATACAATCATAGACTTGGAATGTACGATGACATAATAATAATAATAATAATAATAATAATAATAATAATAATAATAATACTCTATTGCATATAATGGAACTTGAATGGGGCAATTAATGGGGCGGTTAATCTGAGTTTCAGTCTGAATTCAAAGGAGATGAGCCTCAATCTCAAAACAGGTTCAGCAACATGAAATTGGTTCCAGTCCAACCTTTGAAAGGGCCTGAAACTGGGTGGGTTTTAGTCCTTCAAAGTTGGGACTAAAACCCAGAGCGGATTTGCCATTCCACCAACCTGTGAGCCACCAGCCAACACTGGTTTCTGTGCTGCTTTTCTGCAATGAGCAAAATGAGCTCAATGCAAGCAGCAATGAGTGGGTTGCTTGACAGGTCTGCTTCACACTGGCAGACTTAAACTTAAACCCGAATCTCCCAGCAAAAATCAAGCATTGCAAAATTGTAAAACGGTGGCATTCTTTCATAGCAATGGTTGCATTGGTCCAGCCTTGGCTTGTTTGCATTCTCAAAACCAATTCTCAACCCTCTTCTGTCCTCTAAATCTGGTTTGTCCCAGCAACTTGCAACTGAAGGAGACGATAATGGGAGATCTAATGATAAAATGGCCATCCTACTAGTCCCACTGAGCAACCTTTGCTTTTTTTCCTCCTCTGTTTTGCCTTTTGTGCTACCACTTTTGAGATTTTTTTTGTTTTTGAAAGCCACCAGGGACAGGGTGTTCAGATGTTCTCCCTGCAAAGGAGGAGAAGGCACTGCAAAACATAAGACCTTCAAGAAAAATGTGGGGAGATTCCCAAATAAAAGCAAAAAAAAAAAAAAATCCCAATAACCTCAACACACAAATATAAATGCATGCTTCTTAGTCATGCTTTAAATTGAGGACACTTTGGAATCCCTCCTGGACAAGAAGGATGAAATGTAGTACATGTCCTGGAAAAGGAGGATGTTTGGTCACCCTGAATGAGGTCATTTTGGAATTCCTCCTCGAAAGAAAGTGGGAATGTAGGATATGTCCTGGAAAAGGAGGACATCTGATCACCCTGAAAGGAGGTCATTTTGTAATTGCTCAATAGAAGGTGGGAATGTAGGATATGTCCTGGAAAAGGAGGACATCTGGTCACCATGAGCAGGTAGGGACTCTCCTTTTTTACTATCTTTTTACAGAGCTGTTTGGCTTCGGAAGCATGGCAATCATGCTTTTTAAACGGACACATGCAAACTCACAGCTGATGCCAGGTCATGCCTGCCACTGGTTAGGTGCCCTTCTGCCCAGCAATGGTCGGCTGCCAGGTACAGCGGAGGAGTCCTGCTTGCCAGGCTGCAGCTGAGGTTGACAGGGGAGAAAACTGGGTACCCAATGCCTGCAAGGGTAGAAAAAGGAACAAAGAAAGCACTCTGAAAATACCTGGCATAGAATCCCAGAAGTTAGAAGGGGCAACAGCGGTCATCCAGTCCAACCCAGTGCAAGAATTCCAGTTAGAGCATCCCTAGCAGGTGGCTGACCAGCCTCTTTTAAAGGATATCCAGAGAAACAGACCTCTCTCCTGGCCATGGCTTCCAGACCCAACCGACTATCAAGATCAGGGGTAGGCAACCTTTTTGAGCCGGGGGCCGGTTTGCTGTCCCTGAGACAATTGGGGGGCCAAAGCACCAAAAATAAATAAATAAATGAATAAATATAAAAAATTAATAAAAAATAAAAAAAAATGCATGCACACTCTCTCAGCCCCAGAAAAGCCATAGCAAACCCCTGTGGAGATTTTGCCAAGAAAACCCGAAGAACAAGTAAAAACAACAATAATCAACATCATTATGGCGGGCGGCGGCAGCGGCAAAACCGGCCTGGGGCTGGTCCAAAGGCCTCGGGGGGCCGCATCCGGCCCCTGGGCCTTAGGTTGCCTACCCCTGATCAAGATGTTCCTTCTAATGATCAGCTGAAAGCTTGTTCTTGTTGTGTGCCTTCAAGTCATTTCCAACTCATGGCAACCCTAAGTGAAACTATCATGGGGCTTTCTGGGCATGTTTCTTTAGAGGCTTGCCACTGTTATCCTCTGAGGCTGAGAGAGTGTGACTTGCCCCAAGGTCACTCTGTGGGTCACCATGGCTGAGCAAGGATTCGAACCCTGGTCTCCAGAGTCGTAGTCCAACACTCAAACCAGAACACTATGCCGGCTCTCTATCAAAAGCTAATCTTCTATAACTTGAAAAGATGGAAGGAGCTTGTTTTCTGCTGTTCCAGAGATTAGAACGCAAAGCAATAGATTCAAATTACAAGGCAAGAAATTCCAGCAAAACATGAGGAAGTACGTCTTGACTGTAAGAGCTGCTGGAGAATGGAAGGGACTGCCTTGGTATGTGTGTACTTTCTTTCTATCTTTAAATAGGAGTGTTTATTTGTGCACTCTTGCATGGCAGAGGGTTAGACTAAATGGCCCTAGAGGTCCCTTCCAACTCTAGGATTCTGTTATTTCATTTCTATATCCAACACTGGAAGAGAGAAGTGATAACTAAGACATTTATACTTCATTCTGAAAGTGTGTTAAACTTCCCTACCTCCTCATGGATATCAGGGAATCATGGACCCAGCCTGAAATATAACCAGTCTTGCTCAATTTCAGGAGCTAAGCAAGACCCAACCTGGTTAGTGCAGAAATGGGAGACCGCCAGGTAAGGTTAGGAAGCAATCCTGCCTGAAACCGGGGAAAGCGATGACTGCCAGTTCGAGCTGACAATCTTAAGACTATGTGGATCAAACATCCGGCTCAGTATAAAAAGCTTTTTACGTTCCTGTCTTGGTCTGATTTTGGGAGCTAAGCAGGGTTTGGACTGTTCAGTGCTGGGGTGGAAGACCACCAGTAAGGAAGACCAGCTAGAGGAAAAGAATGATACCTCTCAGGAGTGTGTTAGTCCTGTTTTCCTGCATGGCGAGGGTTGGATTAGATGACCCTTGGGTCCCCTCTATGATTCTATGATTTGAACTTTGAATTCAGGACCAGAAGTCTACTGGCAGGTTGTTTTAAAACAAGCTTCTCACTTTGGCCTAAAACTACCTGTCCCAAGGGTCCCAGGAGATGGCCCAGATGCAATGCCATGTTGTTGAGAAATAATGGGCGTTGAGGTCTGAAAACGATCCAGTGGAAGAGGGGACTCTGCTCCTCCACTGCCTCCCCTCCCCTCGCTTCCAGAGGATGGGGTCCCCACCGGTGGCCCATCGAGGTTGGAAACTGAAGCCGCTGACTGCAAGGACGAAAGAATGAAAAAAATTAAGAGAAACATCATCAATGATCTGCAGCAAGTCTTGAACTCAGAACCCAAAGGGCACAGAGCATGAGCAGAGGGCTGAAATCAGTCAACTGAAAGACATTTTGAATATCAGAAACAGACAACTGTAGTTCACACACTGAGGATGTAAATCTTCACTATTTACATTTTAAGAATGGAAAAATTCTAATTCAAAATTCCAAATTTGGGGGGAAAGTAGAAACATCAGGATACCTAGTTTAGAAATTCCAGTAGTTAAACCTCAGAAAACCTTTATTCAGTTAAAATATAAAACTCAGAAAACCTTTATTAAGAAAGTAATAAAGCTTTTGACAATAGGCAAGATATTGAGCAATGGTCAGTAAATTTGCAGCATTTCAGGACATTTTGGTGCAAAAATTCATTATTTGTGTGAAAAACATTTTTTTGGCAGAAATGCTATATTTCTGCACAAAATCCAACTTCTCCACAAAAGTTTTTTTTACTGTAAGAAAAACTCCCAAAGTGTAGAAAATCTTGTGGCTGTTTCTACGTTTTCCCCAATGGGGTATTTTGATGTGTCAAAACTAGAAATGGAAATAATATTTGCTGCTGCTATTTGTTTCAGTGCCCTTGGGGTTCTGAGTTCAAGATTTCTTGGAGGGTAATACAAAGGTGAGAACTGAGCCCTGTTTTTGTCCAGGAGTCACATCTCCCAACATGTTTTGCAAAATTCTTCCATGAAGAAATGCACCAAAATTGAGGAATGTGCAAGAAAGCGTCCCATTTTGTGTGCAAAAGGTATTGTTGGAAATTGTGGGGGTTTTGAATGAAAAGCCATCACAATTTTTTTGTATTTTTGTGAAGAATAATTTCTCAAAATATGTCAAAATACTGTGAATACTGCATCCCAAGTGTTAAAAATTGTAACCCACGTTTGCTCCCCTTCCTCCATCTTAACCAGAAGCACCTTCCTGGATCTAAACAAAGTTCCTCATGTCTAATATTCTTAATTTGAAAATTTGAAAAGTTAAATTTAAATATTTTTTTTAATTTTTAATTTTTAAACATTAAATCTTTCAAACCAGCAACTCACAGAAAGCTTTGGTCTTGGCAAAGTGAGATCCATGCCCTCTTCAAGCTGCCTCGGTTTCCCAGACAGGTCCAAAACCTCCTCCTCAAAGTCTGTTTCGGTGCCATCGAGGACTGAGCCCCTCCGTTTTAGGGTCTGCACAGATGGGAACGACAAAGACGAGGAGGTGGGGATGATGGGACATTCATTATGATCAATGTCCCTGCTTAGATCTTAAAATCTCTATAAAGTAAAATATTAGAAATATTTAAGTACAGTCGCCCCTGCAAGTCCGTGGACTTGAAATCCATGGAGGAGCGACCACCATTAGCATGAATGGGGCATGCGCCCAGTGCGCATATGGGGGGGACGCCCCATTCAAACCAATGGGGCTTGAATATACGCAACCCTCGTAACTCGTCGGGGAGGGGCGGAACGGATCCCTTGTGAGTTACGAGGGACAACTGTACATTATCATGTACTGTAAATTGACAGAAAGTACATTAAAGTATTTATAAGATAACTGGGTGACAAAGACAGGGAGGTGGAGATGATGGGTGATTCATTATCATCAACATGCTTGCTTAAAGTATTGGTAATAGAAGTATTTAAATACAGGTAGAGTAGTTTCAGCATTTAACTAGGGTCCCAAAACACACTGCATAAATAATCCGATTTGAGACCCCTTTAATTGCCCTGGCTCAATGCAAAGGAGTTCTAGGAATTGTAGTTTTGTGAGACACTGAGCCTTCTCTGTCAGAGA